GACTTTTTTAGTTTTCCTATATAAAGCAAGAGGACACATCGTTGACATGGTAGTATGGGGAATATTTTTTGTACTATCTCTAAAGATTAGAACAGAATCTGTACTAAATTAAGTTGAGAGCTTATTGTTTGTTTTAACTCTTCTCACCAGAATGTTAAAAGAAAAGACTACAATATTGCTGGCTGGTTTGTATTTTTTCTTAAATACATTGTTTGGGATAAAGTCTCACAGTTTGGATCGCCTGTAGATTTTTTTACTCAACATTAATTCAATAATGTAATGGGCTTAACTTTAGAATACAATTTTATAGTCAACAAAATGGAATTTTTTACAACTTACAAATTCTTTGCCTGTTTAAAATGTTCCATATTAACTCAAAGTAATAAAGATTTATCATTTTAAATCCTTTGGAAAATAATGCTCCAAATCACCATGCTTTGGTATTTGATGTTAGGAGGCTTATTCAAACCAGTATTTCTTACAAATAATCATTGTGTGACTTCATTACACATTCGTCAACTTTGGACTAATTATTTTTATACAGCTAGGGCAGGGCACTGCCTCTTGTGATCGTCTTTCTTACTAATAGGATTTTGTCTGCTTCAGCAGGCAGTAATTGAAGGCTTCATGTACAGAGTAGGAAAAAAGAAGTTTTAGCCTGAGTGGGCCATTGTCACAGCCTCTGGTAACCAGTAGAACAGAAAACATGAGAAAATTGAACTCAGAATAGAAAAATCAGAAACCAGGAAGACTATCCAAGAGAAGAAAAAGCATGTCTTAGAGCTGTTGGATGAAGGGTAGCAAATATGATTCTGCTTAAAAAAATGTATGCTTGTGAATACCCTGGAGATTGATGCCTCTCAAATAAATATTTTTTAATTCATGTTGTTCTATTAGCATATCAGTTGATAACACAATTGAGTTGTAGAATTTTCTTTTTAACAAAGAGCGTTTATGGTCCATAGCCAATTTCTCACAAATCTAAAAAAAGGTATTGTTAAGTGCATGAGGAGTAAGACCATATAGTGTAGATAATATATTTATTCAAATTTGTTATTATTTGACCTGTTTTCATAATTCTATCACTAGTTAAGACCAAATTAACTTTTACAGAAGAGTGGCACATACTTTCATTTAGGTATGGCAATCCACATATTTTATCTTTTTCTTTAATCTTAAGAATTTTTAAAGGCTTCAAAGATTAAATGTCAGTTGCTAGAGATAATAGACAAGAAGATGTTTAATAAGATGAAACACAGACATATCCGAACAGTTTTATCTTCTCAGTTGGTGATTACAAACAGCAAGTGCTTGGTGGTAGAATGAAAATGAAAAATTATGAAAAATACCTAGATGGTGTCCTTTTAATAACCTGGAGCCCATCGTACATGGGCAATACATCTTTAACTGTCATCCTCATATTTGTTCTCATTTGTTGTGTTACTGGTGTTTGAGGTTGGTTGGTCTCCCAGTAGTCCCTCCAATGTTATAGTTCCATTCAAGAAGGTTTTTGTATTTTTCATTGCTGGTGTCTCTTTTGAGGGAATAGGGGGTGGGGAGTATTTAAATTTTTTTAGTATCTTTAAAGGCAGAAATTAAAAATATGTGACGACAAAGCATCAAGTCAAGATGCTTTGAATTACAGAACACTACAAAGTCAAGTACATAATTTTTGAAGGGAAAAATATTCCTTAAAATTTTTGGAACAATAATAAATTACAACATTAATTAGATAAATAAAAACATTACTTTATTGACTGATAAAAAACAAATATTAAGAGTGCATTTTGCACACATTAAGAGAATGTGTATGATCTCTAATTAGAATGTTTGGCATTCATTCACTAGCTGTGTGTCTCTGAGCAAGTTTCTTAAATTCTGTGGGCCTCAGTTCCCTCACCTATAAAGTTATCTGCATCATAGAATCAAAAGAAATAATGCAAGTGAGGTACTTGGGACCCACTTCACAAAGCTCTTAATAAATGGTAGATGCTCTTACAGTGATCAAAAATGTCACATGCCTTCTGAAAAAAAATTGTCACAGCCTGATCTTCATTTGCAGCCAAGTACACAGGTTCTGATGTCAGCCATTAAATTTAGTATGTCAGTATTCAACCCATGCTGTCTTTGTAATCAATGTTTCTTATATCCAAAAGCTAACTAATTGTTATTTATTAGCTAGTACTCTTTGCATTACTATCTTTTCAATGTAAGTTAAAGCATAGCCTGTTAGGGAGTTAAATAATTAATATGTTTGGGGGGAGACTTTTGCTTTTCATGGACCAAAACAAACCAATTGCAATCATGCTGTGTTCCAATTAAACACATCCTTTTTGAACTGTGAAATGAGAATGTCAGAACATCTGATCTTCTAGTCTTCTGCTTTAAAACACTACTTCCACCATTTGGGCCAACTAGAACAGAGAAACCTAGTTAAAAGGAAGTAGGTTTTACATCAGCTAACAAATTTTATTGCTAGGATGCATTGCTTAGCCTGTTTCCACTGCAGTGTAAGCAAATGCCTCTTTTCTTTCATGCCCCTGTTCTTCACAGTATTGAGAATTTTGTGGTAGTAGGATTTCAAAAGCATGTACAGACACTAATTTTAATCTCTGTAAATGTACTGACATCAAAATTGACATTTGTCTTTGCTGAGTTTGTGTATTACTGTTAACATAGACTCTAAATTTTTAATAGAAAAGAAATAAAATGTACCTTGGGGCTATGCAACTCTGAAATTCAAGTGCTTTTGTGTTTCTATTCAGACATAATCTCCTTCTCTACAGTCCCAAGGCACAAGTGTTAAGTAAATAAAGGAACTAATAAGACTATTGCTTACATAATGATAACCCTGTCAGAAATTGAGACCTCTGTTGAAATATTTGGTGAATGAACATTTAGTGATGATCAAATCTGTGGGGAAAGTTGCACAAATGAGTGTGGGACAAGAGAGCCACCTAGTATCATGTGGGGACAAGTCTTAACAGAAATACAGAAGCAGGATTCTTCAATGAAGCAGAAGAACCATGAAAATTTGGACAAAAGAGATGTATAAACTTGTAAGGGGTAATAGAAAAGAGGTCATTTGGGGGCTGGTGATCTCTTTTCTCTCAAAAAATAAAATTGAGGTACCCAGTTCCTAATCTCCTGTGTGGATGTCTGAAGAGCAGATGCATATTTATGTTAAGAACTTCATAAAACCTCTTTAAAAGCCTTGGTATGGTTTCTGTTCCTGAAATGCTGGTTGCTTACAATTGCTTCTCTTGGTAGAAAAACTGCTCTGTCAGATTGCTCACAAATGTTCAGCATGTTTGGAGAGAGTAGCTTTCCATGTTTGGAGAGAATACACACATGACTGGGAATACACACATTTCTTACATACTTTATCAACAACCCATTAACTGTCATTTTAAAACACAATTTAAAAGTGTTAATATTTTCAATTTAGTAAAATTAGCATATTTGTTTGCTTTTGATGCCTTATTCTAATTATTGTTGGAAAACTGATTTTCATGATTCTATTTAGGCCAAAAATGGCTTGTAATGTTTCAAAAAAAGGAATCTAATGTGTTACGAGATCTTGATGTCATTTAAAAAAAAACTCAAAAAAGAAATTACTTTTCATTTAAAGAGAATCTGCTTCCTGCTTAAGTGGCTAATATTTTAATTAAGTCGGGAGTGAAGTTTTTCTGAGTGTCTCCTGATAAACTCCCTCTTTTATGTTGATGGTAATTAAACAGATCCCTGAGGACCCCGTGAGCTCTGTGCAGGGCCCATGCTAATTGTCAGACATGAGACACTGACCAGTTGGTTTGCTCTTGAATAGTCCGCAGCGTGCTGTCAGCGCGGCAGTTTTATTTTTATGTATTGTGAGCTGTTGTCAGGGCTAACTGGGTGCCATTGTGGCTGAAGATGTTGCGCAAATTGAGGCAGATGGCTCAGATTCAGACACGTGTCATACAGAAAGGGGAAAGGGGATTGGCCCTGCAAAGTGGGGTCACAGCAGGTCACAGACCTGCTCTACACTTGTTAGTGTTTTCAAAAGCTCATGTGCAGCAACTTTGTTTTTCTCCAGTCATCCCTGCAATCAAATCCCCTGCCCCCAAAAAATGTGTGGAACATGCTCCATGTGGAAAATAGAGGCCTAGGAGGGTACGGTCCTCTTCCTTCATGTCTCTGGGGCTCAACTGTGCATGCAGAATGAATTAACAGGATTGACAGAAGTTCATTGTGCCTCCAACGGCTTTTCAGTCAATTGCAATGCTTAAAAGGCTAGTTTTGCTTTTAATTCCTTGTAATTAGTAGGTTCTTTGTGTCTTGGAATTTAGTAACGGAGCCTTAGACCTCAAGTTTCCTCTGTTACATTCTATAGCAAAAAGAAGAATCTAATGTTCTGAACATAAAAAAATTAAAGAGGGAGTGTGGTGTTGCACTTGGCTGTCACGTGATTTTGTTATATGTCATCATCCACATTAGAGGATGAATCTTAATATTTTAACATGCATGAATTCATTGAAGCTTAATAGGAGTTTAATACTGTATATAAAATTAACTTGCATAATCATTTTCAGATATGAGGAATTGAAATTTCAAGCTCTTTAAGAATAATACCTTTGCTTAACATATTTTAAAAATAAAGATATAGTGGTTTATTTTAAAAGGCTCTATGCATGGTAAAATGTTAAATACCAAATGAATGACTCATTCCCAAATACACAGTAATGGAGATTATTCACATGTAGCTGTTGTTCAAAGTAATGGTAAATAGACGTCCTTTTCCTCTTCTTTCCTAAGTATGCGCTAAAATTACCTGCTTGTGGTAAGCATGGTGCTGGACAATTTATTGATTTTTCAGAATATGTGGTTTGGGGTTTGGGACAGTAGGAGCCTATAATAAATTATGGAGGAAAAAGAGTTATTTTAAACCTTTTTGAATTTATGCTGTCTCCTTTTTTCCCCCCTCATGATAAAAGGTCTCTCTTTTTCCCCACCCCCCCCAGGTTTGCAGCTAAAACTGTGCACAGTGGGTCATTGATGCTGGTCACAGTGGAACTGAAGGAAGGCTCTACAGCACAGCTTATCATAAACACCGAGAAAACTGTGATTGGTTCTGTTCTGCTGCAGGAGCTGAAGCCTGCCCTGTCCCATGGGTAACCTGCTTACATCTGGACTTCAGAATCTGGCACACAACAAAAGTGCCTGGCATCCACTACTGCTGCCTTTCATTTATAATAATAGCTCTTCCATCTGGCAGTGGGGGAAGAATACACTCTTGACATTCTTGTCTCCTGCTTTAGAATGCTAGTGTGTATCTATCATGTATGCAATACTTTCCCCCTTTTTGCTTTGCTAACCAAAGAACATATATTTTACTGTCAGTTATTTCAACTCTTGAATCCATGTGGCAAATTCTCTCCTGCTACTTCTTCTGGCCTTCTCATCTCCCTTCTCTTTTTCAACAATGATAGACACGGATTGGATACTTAAAGTTCATCAGAAATCCTCTTCCCTCCCACAGTAAGCAAAAATTAGCCTGGAAATAGTCTAAATGGCCTCTCAGCTTGGTATGTGAAAATGGGGTACAATACTTTTTAGAGCTAAATACAAAAACAGGAAGATCTCTGCAAAATTTTGTTCTATGAATTTCCTGGTATTGCAATTGGTTACTGACAGCTGCCGTGATGAAATTATCTCTGAATATGATAAATAAACTAGCATATGAATAATATTTGTTTTGTATTTTTAATGAGAAACTGCTTATAATCCTGAAGTTCATATACTGAGGTTTCTTTATTCTAAAGTATATATTTGGAGAGTTATATTCTGCAGGGAACCAATGGGGTTTCATTAGTAAAAGAAAAAACACTTTCAAACAGACAGATAAATCTTCTAATTGTGTTATAGAGTAGTTAACTCAAAGAGGGGGAAAACAGTATAGTTAACAAAAGAAATCTTAATGTTGCAAAATAAGACATCACTTTCTGTGCAATAATGATCTGTTAGTGGAGATCTGATTACAAGGCCTATTAAACCTGCTGAATAAATTATTTCAGTCTTAATACCTTTGCAAATCTTGATGTCCAACTTTGATGGACTGAAGCACCTTCAGAAACCAAATAGTATAAGTTTAACTTTAGAAATTTTTTAAACTAGTTGCATGATCAACATATTAGCACTTTTCTCTGGAATTTTTATCTTACTTGCTAACTTAGGCAAGTTACTGCTTTTATTAAGTTTGTTCTGTAATCAGAAAACTTCTTTTCTAAGACTTTCCTACTTAGAGCCAGTTGAAATGTATTTACCTTCCTGATACACAGTAACAGGCTTTAACAGTGTATATGCTGGTCAGTTCCCTATGCATGGAGCCACATCGTGGTTTTTAAAAAGTAAAAAGAATATGCATTGATTAAAACATTCGAGAACACATAGAAAGGGTTAAAATATATATATAAAATATTCCTGGAATATATTGAGAACAGACTACAAAAAAAGTACTTAAATTTTCAAGCTTGTGAGCTGGAGATAACAAGACTTAACTTTTCCTGCTCCTGAAATACAGCAGTTAATCTGGGTGAAGAAAAGTACGGCTATGGAGTCACAGTTCTTACTCGCTGTGGAGCCTTTTACACTGTGATAATGCTGACACCAGAAGCACCTCCATGCTTGCAGCCCATTGACATTTACATTATTAACTCTATTCAGGGCTTCATAACTTTGGATTTTCAAGTCAACAACTTTTGAAATGTTGTAAAGAATTTGATAGGCTAAATACCATTTTCTGGGGAAAAAAACATACTGTCATCAAAGCAGGGGTAAAATGGTATGATGTGATGAGCAGTTTTTGTTTTCCTTAAATGAGGGCACTCATCCTTGAAACAGGTCATGCATGTGTATATTTTTTTAAACAAAGGAAATTTCAGTAAATCTTTAAAAGAATAGTTTTGACTTAACTTTTAGATTTAAATCTGTATTAAATCATTAATACAATGTAGTATGCTAACAGTTGAAACCATTTTAACATCTGTACATTAATATCATTAAAATATTTTTCACGTAAGTGAAATTAGAAAAGTGACCGAAGTCCCAAGTTTAGAATTTGAGGGGGTTTTTTCTTCTTTCTTTTTGGTGTAGTGATTCAGAGTTCCTTGCCTCATATTTCCTTTAACTTTACCATAATCCATGATTATCTTTAAATTGTTCCATTGAGTCGAGTTAGTCAATGTTGGATTCTTAATTCTAGCTATATTTTTTCATTTTAATGTCCACTTAATGGGACATTTTATGTACACCAATCTTGAAGAATGGCTCTCATAGTATATTGCAGACTGAGCCTCATTTTTGGTATCATAATACATTTGCTTTATTTATTATAAGAAAAAGAATGTTTTTATTCTGAGGAAGCTATAACAATAAATTTATCAAATTAAAATACTGGATACTTGCCCTTCCCGGTAACTATTTATAAACATTTGAATAACCTTTTAATAGCTTATGAAGAGTTTGCCCTTACAATCTGTCCTTCTGTTGTTAAGAATTTACATGTTAAATTAGAGAAGACAAGAATCCACCATGATGAATAACATAAAGGAGTTTAAAAAAAATCAGACCAGGTAAAGAAAATGTAAGCTCCTTCACCTTCTTTGTTCCCTCTCTGCAACCTCTCTGGCCTTACAAGGGAACCGTGTAAAGGGGAAAAAAATCTTCTTTTCACATAATGGGAGGGGGTAAATCCCTGTTATAGTGCAAAATTAACAGAACCTTACTATTTCCTTTCTACTTGAAGATTGCATCCACTGTGGAATGTGCAGAACAGGCATAACCATTGTCAGGAGTTAGACAATAGGAGATATGCTCTATACCCTCAAGAAACCTTCAGTCCAATTGGCAGTAAATGAAGAAATCTCAGTGTGGACTCGCCAGTAAGTGAGCCTGGTTTGCAAACACATTCTGCTTACATACTAATACAGGCTCACCTCCTTCCCCAGCCCACTCACCCCCTGTGCTGAGTCAAACCCCAGAAACCTACTGACCCACCTCCTCACTCCTGTTTCCTCTCTCCTCACACTGGTAACCTTACCAGAGCAGCCAGCCCCTCAGGGCCCATTTCTTTTGTTCTTCCATCAATTGGAAGTTGGTTAATTTCTAAAGAGAGCTATTTTCTGGCCATTTTTTTTTTACCTTTCTCTTTCCCTTCTGCCTTCCAACTTGACCAGTTACCTGAGAGAGAGTTGTCATGATCACTTTCACTCTTTTCTTAGACTTTAGAGGAAGAAAGAAAATCAAGTTTATGACAGTGTTACAGTCTTAGATGAATGGAAATTGTGTTTAATGGAAAAATGTGGCCTTAGGTGACCCAGTAGATTCTTTCCTGAATCTTCACAGTCTCCATCTCCTTTCTTTATGTGACTTCCCAACAAGTAGCATCCAATATACAACTAAATGAATGCTTTATTCTCTTCCTATTTTGATAACATTGCCTTTTTTTTTCTCTACCACTTTTCAACTTGTTATGGAGGAAGCAGAATTCTAACCTGGTAAGTTAACCACTGTGTATAATTTTTTCTTGAGTAAAAACATTTTAGATTCTATATGATCACTTGACCAACAGACTTGGAACATAGCTGTTTGAAAGCTGAGATGGTTTCTGGGAAACATTGTGAAGCAGTTGTATGGTTGTCAAATCATACCAGTAAGAGCTATTGGGTTTAAGGGAAGAAGTGATCACTGGGCTAGGAATGTCTGAGAAGGTTTGCCCAAGGCCATGAAGCTTGGTCTTCAAAGTTAAATGGCATTTCAAAGAAAGGAGTTTCTGGGACTGGAAGAAGGAAGAATATATTGTTCTCAACTGAGGTTATATCTTAAATGTTTCTAAAATACCTTCATACAGAACGAAACATCGCCCACACCAAAAAACAGCATCCCCTCCCTTTCCGTGCCTCATGTCTCCTCTTTCCCTGTCGCAGTCTTTCCTTCTCGTGATGCCATCCCCATCCTTCAATTGCCTGTGGTAGTTTAGAGGAGAAACACGTGGTTAAGGTATTACACGTAGGGCTGTGCCACACTTGGGAACCGTGTAGAGGCAAGAAAAAGGTTGGAAGTCACTGAACTACAGAGCAGGAGACAGACTGTTGGTTTTTACCCTCCTGCTTACAAGCCTATTTTAGATATTTCCTTGGGTGTTTTAGTTATTTCCTCATAGGTCTAGGTTCTAAAATGAGTCTGACTTACAGTAAAAGTAGCTGAAGAATAATGCAGTTCCATTGGTGTCTATTTACTGGTTAAGTGATTGTGAATTGAAGTGATGCTAAAATCTCTAATCATCTCCCCCTCCTTTTTTCTCCAGAGCCAGTTTTATGTGCATAATCACTTGTACATGTAATTCCTAGCTGGTTCAGTAAATAATGTGCCCTGAAGACCCCAACCCTCAGAATTCAAATATGGCATTACTACAACAGATTCAACCTGTCTTTAATGACATTCTAAGACACTGGTTTCTCATCTACAACCTTGAGGGCCAGAGACACCAAAGACCAGGCTTAAATGTAGAAGTGTATTCTAGATGTAGAGATATTTAGAAAACCTAGCCAGTAAATAATTCTGCCAGTGGGGCATTCATGTCAATTCTCAAAAACTGCAGGTGCTATGTGGGGGCTTGGGGAGAACAGGGAAGCCTCATCTGCCCACCCTTCTCATAACTGGCCTGGGAGGGGAAAGAGGGAGGAGTTGCCAAAGGAAAAGTGCCAGGATATGGAAGGGAGGGAGGGAAGGGAGATTAGCTCTCAAACTTAGAATCCCTAAGATTCTGATATTTTTCCCCCTAAAAGAGCATTTTCTTCTCACCCTATGTAAGAACCAATTTTTTCTTTAAGCAGTGTGTTGAATGAAGACTTATTTTATGGTAGGGTCGACCATCTCCCTGGATAACAGTAAGGAATTGGTAAGACCATGGCTTACAAAAAGAAAACATTAAATTCTGCCTTTGCACAATAGTTAAGAAAGGTTTTATGAAAGTGGGCCCCTCACTTCTAAACCCCCCAATTCTAAAGAGTATGTTGTTAATGTTTATTCTCTTTGGTTATTAAACCACGTATAAAGTTAGGAGTGACAAAGGGGAAGGTGTGACCTCCCATTAGCCAAGTGGTGGCTGATGCACAACTTGGGAGTAACCAAGTATCCTCCCAACTTAAGGTGTGATTTTTGAGCCTTAAAAAATGAAGCTACCATGAAAGGGCCTCTTATGGGCATCACGCTGAAACCGCTATCACCCAAAGGCACACTTTCCCTAATCCTAGAGCCTCTGTTTTGCTCCAGCCTCCACAGGAACCATAGAACCCAAATATAAATATTTTGTAAACAAAGTTATGAGCAGCTCAGTTTTCTAATTGAAAGTAATTATGATTTCTGTGCTGTGGTAAATTGCAAAAAAAAATGTTATTTGATGATTAAGATTCTGGAGTGAATTGTGTTCTTCAGGCTCTCACGCCATTCCTCCATCAGGGACCTGGTTTCAGCGGCGTGCAGCTGCTGGGGTTGATTTACAGTGCTGCGGCTGCGGCTGGTCATAAATAAATCCTCTTATATAGTTGTTATGAACACCTGTTAGATCATCTGTCAGCAGAGCGCTGTTCACATTTATCATGGTGCGGTAGTTATTTTACCTCAATCCATTTCCAACTGACTCGGCCTCCGTCGCTGGATTACTATTACCACACCGTAATCGCTCCTTCC